ACCAAGAGCCAACATTATACTAATTGAAGAGAACTCAAAGAATTTCCTCTAAGTTAATAAGCAAGACAAGTATGTCTACTCCTTACACTTGCATTGATGCAGAGCTTGAAGTCTTTTCTTTCTTTCTTCTTCTTTTTTTATTTTTTTAAACATAATTGATGGTGGCCAATTTAACCCCAGCACTTGGAAGGCAGAGGCAGAAAGACCTCTGTGAGTTGGAGACCAGCCTGGTCTATAGAGTGAGTTCCTGGACAGTCAGGGTTGTTACACAGAGAAACTCTGTGTCAAAAAAACAAAATATAATGATGATGATGATGATGATGATGATGATAAATTCTTTATTGATCCTTTGGGAATTTTACATCATGCACCTTACTCCCTCTCACCTTCCAATCCTTCCATATTTACCCCTCACCCTGACACTTCCCCCCACAAAAGTAAGTCCCCCCCAATTAATTAAAAACAAAACAAAACAAACCAGCATCGCTCCTCCATCTTTCCTTCGTCTCCACCACCTCTTCATTTGTTCTAGTGGCTTTGGGAGCTGAGACGTGTCATGCAGTACACCCTTTTGTCCACCAGCCCCACCCGCAAATGCTCATTGCAATGAGTCATTGGTCTGGTTCAAGGCCTGTGGCCTCTGGCATACTGTCATCACTGGACCATCACGGAGTGTCCTCTCAGATATCCAGTTGTTGTCCCAGTCATGGAGGACCTGCAGCTATCGTGCAGCAGGACCAAGCCCTTCATACATTCCAGCATAGATGGAGTAGGTGTTAGGGTGGGCCAACCCAAGTCCCAGGATGTGGGCTGGGCATTAGCAGAGCTGGTGAGTCTGATCCATTGGGATAGCCCACCTCAGGTGGGGGGCAGAGTCAGCTCTCCTATGCCCATGCCATCTGGGACAGCGTTCCCATGCCTATGATGAGGGGTGGGGTCATCTCTCCTGAGTGGAGCAGGGGCAGGTCACAGCAATAAAGCATGAGAAAGAAACAAAGGGTACAACTTGGAAAACAATGAGTCGAAGCTTTCTTTTCAGGTATCAAGAAACTGCATTTAACAGACTTCTACAGACAAGCAGGAAACACTTGGATCTGATAAATACTTTCAGAAAATTAACAAGAGAAAAAATCTGCATACAAAAAATATTTTCCATGTGCCAATAATGAACATGCTGAGAGAGAAACCAGAAAATCATGGAAAACAACCACAGTAGCCTTCAAAAGACAATGAAATGCATAGGTTGAAACCAACCGAGGAGGTGAAAGACCTCGATGAGAGATTAAACTATTGGAGAATGAATTTGAAAAGGACACTGGAAGATGAAGACTTCAAATCAAGGATCTTAATATAAACTTGAAACTTTGGTGCCACTAGAAGAAAATATATCAGAAATACTGTTTGTTTGTTTTGTTTTGAGTCAGGGTTTCTCTGTTGAGCTTTGGAGCCTGTCCTAGAATTCACTCTGTAGACTAGGCTGGCCTCAAACTCACAGAATTCTGCTTGCCTCTGCCTCCTGAGTGCTGGGATTAAAGGCTTGTGCCACCACTTCCCAGTTTATCAGAAACACTAAGACACAGAGATAAGCAACATCTTTCTGAACAGGATTCTGAAAACTCAAATAATGATAGTAAGAATTGCATGCCATTAAAAAGCTTCTGCACAAGAAACAGTTTCTCAAAACAAGAGACAGCCTATGCAACGGTCTTGGCTAGTTATTCTAGGGATTAATATCCAGAATATATAAAGAATTCAAACAGCAAAGCATAGAAAATATAACCCAATCAATAAAAGGACAAACGGTTAGGAAAGGCATGTCTCAAAAGAAATATCAATGACACATAATATATATACAGTCATATAAATACACACAAATGCAAAAAACATCTTATGATCCAAATTTAAAAGTATTTATTACACTGAACTTGATGAAAGGTTTGTAAGGTGTGTGTACATGCATGCATGTGTGTGTGTGTTACACTGAACTTGATGTAAACTTACACACACACCCCCACACACACATCTTAGGGTTTCTGTTGCTGTGAAGAGACACCATGACCACAGTAACTCTTATAAAAGAAAACATTTAATTGGTGCTGACTCCAGCTCAGAGATTCAGTCTGTTATCATCATGGTGGGACATGACATCATGCAGGCAGACATGCTGCTGGGAAAGCAGCAGAGAGTCCTCCATCTTTCAGGCAACAGAACGTGGTCTGACCCTGGGAGCAGCTTGAGCATAGGAGACCTCAAAGCCCACCTCTACAGTGACATATTTCCTCCAACACAACTACGCCTACTCCAACAACTGCCATTTCCTTTGGGAGCCATTTTCTTTCAAACCACCATATTCAATTCCCTGTGCCCCCCACCCCCACCCCCCACAAAGGCGTATAGCCATTTCATACTACAAAAATGCATTCAGTGCAACTTCAAAAGTCCTCATAGTCTATAACAGCCTCAAACTTATTTAAAAGTCTAAAATTCAAAGTCTCTTCTGAGATTCATGCAATCTTTTAACCGTAATGATCTGTAAAAATACCCATGTGCACGTGTGTGTGTGTGTGTGTGTGTGTGTGTGTGTGTGTGTGTGTGCACAAGTGCCATGGCACATATGTGGAGTATGGCAAGTGACTTTACCGGTCGAGTCATCTTACCAGCCCAAGAAATATATTTGTTATGCTTCTGTTCCTGACACATTCTGCTGCCTAAAGTCATTGCTGGCACAATGGTCATGCTTATAAATGGTAGCACTTAGGAGACAGAGGCAGGAAGATCTGAACTGGTAGACCGCCCAGATCTACATAGTGAAACCCTGACCCTAAAACCTAAAGATTAAAGATGTAGCTTAGTGAGACAGAACTTGCTTCCTTTGCAAAAGATCTTGGGTTGGATCTTCAAAAACTGAACAAACAAGACACGAACAAACAAACAAACAAAACCTGACAGAGAGAACCTGGTCTCTGGTAGCACAGGATGCAGTGTCTGCAGTTGTGTCTTGTATCAATTTGTGAACTTCGTTGCCCCTCCACCCATTTCTTAGACACTTAATTTGGAAGATAACATCTTGCTGCAGCCACTGGAAGCCCAGTACGAGGTGCAGTACTATTCATCTATTGCAGAGCCAGTGGAACTGCATGGGTCATGATTCATTATTTAGTGTGTCAACACACATTCGACGAGCACGTATTGCATGTTTCTGTGTTAGATGACGAAGGTTAGAAAACAGTGTATGAGAACAAAGTCTTTGTCACCAGTTGGAGTGATAAATACCATACAAATGCACATTTAAGATCAAGTTGTGTTGTGACGGAAAGTAAGTAAGGACCATTAGAAACACATTTATCAGGAACCAAGGGTTATTTCTGGGTGCTAGCCAGGGATGGATTTGTGGCCCTTTCAGCTTTGAGAAGAGATCTTCAAATTCTCTAAAGTCTTGTGTACCTTACAGACTTCTCTAAGGGTGTGGCTCCTGGTAGCTCAACCACCCTCCAGTGGATGGCCTTGCAGGAGCATATGAACAGCGCAGACTGGACTCAGTGTGATATGTAACAGCAAATAAAATTTTAAATTAAATCAGCAATTTTGAAAAGATTGTAGAACTTGGTATGGACTCAGAAGGAGTGGAGAGGGTAATGGGGGTAAAATATGAGCAAAATGTACTGCGTGCACGTATGAACTTCTCCACGAATCAATAAAAATATTGCACAAATAAATAAATAAATACAATGAAAGGTTCCATGTTGATAATCTAAACTCAAAAGGCAGCAGTAGAGCAACCTTTAAGATCCTTGAAAAATACATGTTGGGAAAAAATCCTTCAGTTTCAATTTTTCAATGATCAATCCTTTATAACAGTTTATATACAGAATTTTGACAAGGAGGGGATATAAAAGATTAAAAAATGATGATCAAATAATTACCGCTGCCTAAAAATGCTTGATAGCAAAGGTAATCCAGAACAACGAGTTTTAAAAGAAACCAGAAGAAGAAAAGCTGCATGTTTGAGGATCATATCAGGGAGGCGTGCGCAGGTTCGAGGACTATGATTCTGACGTTACAAAATCCTTTTAGGTGGGACACTTGTGTGTCGGGTGTATCTCTCTTTCTTTCCTGGCATAATATTTGTATATTTTACAGTTTATGTATGTGTATAAATGTAATGATCAAATAGTATTATTCAGTCAGTAATGGAGTCCTGCTGTTTACGCCAGTGAGTGACAGGTACTGTTTTAAAACTGCAACCTAATTTAGAGTCTGAAGAATCAGAGCCTGAGCCTGGCGGGACTTCAGCGACCAGGAACAGAACTCCTCGAGGCAAAGGCGTTTAGAACGTCACCATTCTTCCTGTACTTCAGCTGTCACCTAGTACCGGAATTCTGAGAGCCATGAAGGTCAGGCTCAGAATCAGGGAAGGTAGCAGATTCTGATCTGTGCTTTAAAGTTCCAGGGCTGGGGCCAACCTGAGGCGAGACTGCTGAGCTTCATTTCCAAGAAACCATTCATTGAGCGTGCTGCAAAAGTAATCTTAAACACCGTGCCTGCTGCAGACACAAGTTCACATTCTAGTAGGAACTCAGAGAAGTACAGACACTCCAGCTACTCCCACCTGGAAAGCCCGCCCCCCAATGTAACCATAGCAACGGCTGACACCAGAGCGCCTGTGAGCCGAGTTCCGCCCCCTCCCTGACAGATATTGTTTCCCATCCTCTGTCCACATGGGCGCACTGCCTCACTATTGGTCTGTGGCCCAGGACTGTGCCTTGCCCCGGCCAATAAACTGCCTGTGCACGTGCACTCTGGTGTCTCCCGATTGGTGGAGTGGTCCTGATCACGCACCACCGTCCTGCTCAGCCCGGAGAAGGGCCCGCCAATAAAATGACTCAGTGGTCATGCACAACCAATGGGAAAGAAGCATGTCTCGCAGCTGGCCTATGGGCGCGCGCCGTGGGCGGACTGAGCCGTCCCCTTTCCAGCCCCAGTGGGGTGTGTTAAAGAGACAGTGCCTCGGTGCGGGTGTTTCACCCGGCTGGGCGCTGTGGCCGTGGTGGCCCTGGGCTTGCCGCCGGCGCCCGTGACAGCAGCGTCGCGGAGCCGGCTACCCCGACCCAGGGCCGCTGCCGACCTCGCTGACAGAGCCGCATCGCCTGGCGGGATGGGGGGCGATGCTGGAGCCGATGGTCCCCGGGGCCGCATCAAGAGCCTGGGGCTAGTGTTCGAAGATGAGAGCAAGGGCTGCTACTCCAGTGGCGAGACAGTGTCTGGGCATGTGCTGCTGGAGACTGCAGAGCCAGTGGCCCTGTGCGGGTTGCGCCTAGAGGCCCAGGGCCGTGCCACCTCTGCCTGGGGCCCGAGCACTGGTGCCCGGGTCTGCATGGGTGGCACCGCTCCAGCAGCTTCCTCGGAGGTGGAATACTTGAACCTGAGCTTGAGCCTACTCGAGGCCCCAGCTGGTGAGCATGGAGATCTCCAAGGAGGTGGGGGGAGGGGACACGTCTCTGGATAGGGGGTGCCATTGAGGGAAGCTTCTGGAATGGGAATCATCAGTACTGTCATGGGTAAAGGGCAAGAGGCCAAGCCTGGCTTCTAGGAAAAGTCAAGACCATTATTGGGTGGTGTGTCTTTACACCTGGGGTCTTCTGGTGACCTAGAAGGGAGTGAGTCGTTGCTGTGGGAACCATCGGTTCATTGACTATCTGGGTTCTAGGGTCCTTCCTGACCTGGAGGCATGGACCATGGAACCAGAGTCTGTGGGGTTCCATTATGTGGTGCCCAGAGTTTGATGGGCCTCCACCGCTTCCTATCCCGGCCCTAGGCACTCCTCTGTTCATGATGATTTGCAGAAAACTCTTGGGAAGAGAGAAGTTGTGCTTGAGTAGTTCCAGGGACATGTGCCCTCTCTGGGGAACCTGCATCTTCCTAAGAGCTGCCCCTTCCTGTACCTCCTCTTCCTCTTGCCTCTCCCCTTTCAGAAAAGCCTTTGGAGACAATGCCATCTGGGGATTTCTGAATTACACCTTCCTGTTCACTCAGAGTTTTCCAGAAGTGCCCATGCATATGTATGTTGGGCTAATGCTAGGGACATAAACTGTTGCTGTTCATCATGAAAATGCTAGTAACAGTGAGTCAGCCTTCTCTCAGTGGAAATTACTGTAAACCTTTACCTGTGCCTCATCAGCTTGTACCTATCCAATGCGAGCTTACTACTTACTGTATCCTATCCTCCCCGCAGAGAAGTACAATATACGCTGTTAAGTCCCCCAATATATATCTAACAGGAGCTGCCTTTTGGATAAGGGCTGGTGTGTGGCCAGCGACAGCTCTTACCTGCCTACATCCTCCTTGTGGATTCCAGGAGTCTTTTTCTCCCAGTGATAATAGCCAACAAGAATGTTAAAGATGGCTGACTGGCAGGAAGGCCATGGAAGACAGAAGTAAACAGGTTTCAGACTCTAAGCCCATAACTACTGGGAAATGAAGACGAAATGAGAAGCACTGAACCTAGAATGAGAAATGAACATTGCTTTGGTAAAATTTGGGCTAACAGATAGGGTTATTGTTTGGTTATTGTAAAACATTGTAGCTTTGTTCTAAGGAAATGGAATATCTAATTCTAGATGGGCTGGTTCAAGTTCTCTTAGGATGGTTATAGTTTACTTAAAGTCAGTGCCTCCTTTAGTTGGGGGAAGGGAACATCACCCCGCCTGCCCACCATTTGGAAGAACAGGGCAACTTCACACATAGACTCTCAGAGTCATTAACTCCATAAACTAGCTATCATTCATTGGCCTGAGGAGTTTTTTTTAAACGTTGTCTCCTAGGAAATATAAGGCTGGCATCTATTTTTTAAAATCTTCCCAGAATATTCTTTCAAATTATTATTCTTACTGAACCACTTTCTGTCAGCATGGCTGAACTGCTTCGTGTCTTTAAGAACGGATTGTGGTAAAGACCCAGAGACCAAAGCAGAGTGTTGGCTTCAGTCCATAGGCACCCACCAGAGTGTGACCTTATACAGACACATCTCTGGATTCTCCACTGTACTGTCTCTAGATCCCAAGGCTTATGACAAACTCCCATCAAGAGGTCTGGCTAGAAGCCCTCTAGTGTGTGAAGCAGCTCCCCCATGGCACTGTAGTCCTCAGAGGACAAGGCGGAAGGAATGAGCCGTAAAACAGGAGCAGAAATGACCACGTTGTCTATCTCGTTAATGTTTTTAACTCAACATAAACATCAAACAGAGAAGGACACACAGTTTTCAAGATAATTGCTGTGTTTATCCATTTCCTCAAGTTGATTTTCTCATGCGAAGGTCTGTAGTTCTTGTGTTGACTTGTACCCTGATGGTCCTTCATCTCTCTTATCACTTTTCAATATGCTGGGCAGATCTGTTCTCTAATGCCTGTCCTGTTTCCTCATACTGTTCCTTCACTTAAACTCTAACCACGCATCTGCAGTCTGATCCTCAGACTCCAGGCCCAGTGTTATTCATGTGAGAAGTAGCTGGATTTTAGCTCTCTCTAGCCTTTACTTGAGTACACATTTCTAAGCTCCTTCCCATCAGCGGGTCTTCTGAGGACTAAAGAAACTGGTCCTTCTATCACCTAAGTCCAGTGAATGTTGGATTCATGTAAAATCCACATTTCTAAGCATGTGCATGTACCTATGTAGTCTACCACGTGTAATGTGTACACGTACCATGTGTAGCCTAGCAATCACAAAACAGACCCCATCTCAGCTCCATTCCCCTGAGACCCCTGAAGAAGATGAGACACAGTGTCCCTTGATTCCAGTCCTATAGCTCTTCTGGTACCCTCCTGAGGCTTGTGTGGCCACTCCTGCACATTGGGAGCCTCTAGGACTTACACTGAATCACATGACTTAATCTCACCCTGTGTCCTGATTAATCATTATTGTTCGCCTTGCCTTTAGGTCACCTACCTATCATGTCTTTCTATGCAAAGTGGACCCATGTTTCCCCTTAATATAGTACATACTAAAAATCAGAGATAGATTTATTGGGTCAGTAATGTATTCTTATTTTCTAAAAGTACAGGATTGAAATACTGAGTTGTTAGTAATTAAATAAACCAAAGAAACCCACCTTATTAATGGCTTTGGCCTCATGGAGCAGATATACCAAGCCCAGTAACAAATCAAATTTCAGACCAAGTTGTCTGCCATCTTATTCCTCTTCCCACAATGTAGCCTCAATATGAGCTGGAAGGGAAAGTCTGTCATAGGCCATAGGGACCTATTGTCCAGACCGTAGGCCATGGGACCTACTGATCCATATTAAACAGGTTGGCTGTGGACATTCATCGTAGGTTCCGGGGGCGCCTCTAGTCTAACACCACCCATCCCTGTACTTTGGCCTTTGCTCAGTAACAAGCCTGTGCATGAAGTTGAATGATGCTAACAATAACAGGGGAAGGGACTTGCTGTGCTTGGAAAATCCTGCTTTCACCACCCAGAAACCCTGTCAATCTCAGTAGAGCTGAAGGATAAAGAGCTGACTCTTGCTGCTCTGGCTGTCTTCTTTGTCACCATTACTAATGCTGTTCCCAAGTTTTCTATCTCAGTCTGAAGAATACATATTATGGTTATTGTAGTATAGCCAAAGAAATGTAACTTGTTAGTTAGTTTTTAGGTCCAGTTTAATGTTGGTGTCTCATGTTAGTATAACTAGAATGACGTGGTGTGTGTGTGTGTGTAGATAGATAGATACATAGATAGATACATAGATAGATAGGTAGATAGATAGATAGATGAATGTGTACTACATGCATGTTTATGCACACATACTGTATATGTATATTGGAACTCTTTGCCCTCGGTAGTAATATTTTATGGTAATTATATAATTGATCATTTTGTGAATAGAAGGTAGGTGTGTGTGTGTGTTTCTTGTTGAAAGACAAGTTCAAATTTCATCCTCTCAATCTGTTTAATGAACTTGTAGGGTGTCCTGCCAGTAAAACCACACACACACACACACACACACACTCACACACACACACACACACACACACACACACACACACACACACACACACATATATATATATATATGACTTATATTGTGAAAAGTCTTGATTTAATGTTTACCTTCATTAAAATGTAATGTGCTCTCTTTCAGGTGAAGGCGTCACTTTATTACAACCTGGAAAACATGAATTTCCTTTTCGCTTTCGACTTCCATCCGAGTGAGTGGAGCTCTAAGTTTTCTGTTTCCTCCCCTTTCCTTGTGTCCATCATGTTAGCACCCCGGTGTTCCCAACACTGAAGTGCATTAGCCAATCCGCATAACCCTCCCTCTACTTCCCTGCTGCCTCTTGTTGTTTTCAACCTTAAGCCACATTTTCAAGTATGGGTTTCCTGACTCTGTCTAGTGGAAAATCAGTTCATAAACCAATATCTTTGGTTTATTTCAGACCGTTGGCAACATCGTTTACTGGAAAGTATGGCAGTATTCAGTACTGTGTGAGGGCTGTTTTGGAACGACCCCAAGTACCAGATCAGAGTGTAAAGAGAGAGCTCCAAGTTGTCAGTCACGTGGATGTCAACACACCACCCTTATTGGTGAGTGCTTCCTTTCTCTGTCCCTCCTTCCTTTCAGTAGTAGCGTCTGTATTTTGTCAGGATAGTGGTGATATGCACTGTCCCTGTCTACTGGTTCAGAAAACACAATGTAGCTCATAGGCGTTCTCTATAAAGATATGATTCTAGGTTGGGCAAATTATAAATTGTGTGTGTTAATACTATTGATTATGTCCCTGCTGTTCAGGGCTGCTTTTGCCAAAAAGTTACACAGGCTTGAAATGCATTAATAAGCCTTAATAACAATAATGCACAGCAGAGAGGGGCTACTTTGACCAGCACAGCCACATTCACAGGACTGTGGTATTCTAAACTCTGCAATAATAGCAGGTTGAGGAACAGTAATTACGAAAGAGTATTAATCACACTCAGCCTGTTATTGAAGCCCAGGCCATTATGCTATGTATCCTTCCATTTTGCATGTCATTTTCTAGCATTAAGTAAGTGTGTGCAGCTGCCACCACGAGCCTTTCACTTATCATTTCCTTATGACAGATTTGGCCACATGAAGGCATTGAACTTGTAATAATCACCAGAAATACTGTAGGCTGGTAAGAAGGGGGATAAGCCTATAAGGAACAACAGAATAGGCAAGATGGGGACTAATGAGCTACGTCCTTTTATCTGCACCCATATTATCAAGATAGTATAAAATTATACCTCCGACTTTCATGAAAACTGATAGGACCAAATGGGTCTTCATTTAAATATGAATGAATGTTATTTTTTACTTCATAGATAATTCTGAGACAATTTAAACTTCCCATCATGACACTGATGTGGCAAAGATGTGGTTTTAGTATTGTATATATTTTTTCTAGCTAATATTTTTAAAGACAAGGGAAAAGCCAGCATCTAAAAGTTTTTTGGTTCTTATTTTCACAACAAGTAGAATAAACGTTCCCCCCTTGAGGTATGGCAGACATACACCATGCTTGTGTGGCTTAGCAGACCCACTTGAGCAGCTCCTTAAGTCCCATTTGAAAAAGTGCTGGCATTAGTAACTTACATATTTTTTTAAATTGCCATGGTTTTGTGGGAAATTACTTATGGAAGTAGGTTTGTTTTTGACAGAAGCAGACCCTTGACCTTGTTACTATTAGTTTCTAAAGTAGATGAAAAAGATGACCAGCAACAGTATTTTTACAGAAAGCTTTTGTTTTTACAGCTTGTAAACAGAGCATTTAAGCCTCAGCTGAGGTTTTTCTTGCTTTGAATAATAAAATCCTATAGTGGGGTGTAGTGTGTTTCATCATATTTTGAGATCTGCTAACACAGGGTGTCTGAATGTATCCTTAACCAGTCCAGGAACACTTGAAAGTTCTGTCTGATATGTGGTGTATGCCAAGCAGTTTCACATTCTGATTGTTGATTTTTATATCATTCCTTCTTTCTCCGATATTTACATTGTCTTAAAACATAATTCTGTCATGCTGGTAAGATGTCTCAGTGAGTAAGAGTGTTGCTGTGAAAGCAAGAAAACCTGAGTTCTGATTCCCAGCACCCATGCAGAAGGTGGGAGTGGCCTCACATGCCTATAAGCCGCAAATTCGGGGATGGAGGCGGGTGAATCCCAGGGGCTCACTGAGGATAGCTAGCCTAGATGAAAAGGCAAGCTTCGGACTCACTGAGAGGTCATGTCTTAAACAAAAAAAACAAAGGGGAGAGTGATAGACAAAGCTCAGGACATTTTCCCGTGCCTTCTGCATGCCCCGGCATGGGGGTGTACACACCCACACCCACACTTGTGCATGTGCTACGCCATACCTACCACACACACAATGATGGTTCTGTAACATTTAAAGTATGAATGTGACCCTTGATTACTTTTCTAAAGGATGTTGTGTCATTTCCTAGAAACACAGTAAAATAGAATGACGTCACACTAGTTTGAGTCTAAGAATTCACCCTACTTTTCCTGAGCGTGTTTCAGTACTTGGTGTCACAGGAAAATAAGAAAGATTGATGTTTCTTTATGATTATTCTCTAAAGGACTATAAGTTCTCTTGAGTGGTTTAACTAAAGTCCTTTTTGCAACTTTTCAAGACTCCTGTGCTGAAAACGCGGGAAAAAATGGTTGGCTGCTGGCTTTTCACGTCGGGTCCCGTGTCACTGAGTGTCAAAATCGAAAGAAAGGGCTACTGCAATGGTAAGCAGCACTCTTGTAAAAATCCCAAGTGAAGGACTCTGATTTTACTAGATGATCTCAGCAATGTAAGAAGTACTTTGTATTTTAGAATATAATTAGCATTTATATATTTTAAGGGCATGTATAACAGGCTTTAATAAAACTCCCGTCTTTTTTTTTCCTGACTCCGGTTTTGTTGCTTTAGTAACAAAATAAAACTCAGGAGACTGGGGAAATGCTGGCATCATATTTTAATGTTGCATAAGAAGACACAGAGCTATTGGAGAATTATGGGATAGATGTGTAACGTTGTGACCTAATTTGCCTGCCCCGTCATTGTTTGTGCCTTAACATATGGATTCCTGAGCTGCCAAGGTTCTGCTTGCTGTTGAGCAGGTCATCATTCCGTGGGCTCCAGTGGGGTCGTTGGCAAGCTTTACACCTTGCCTCCTACTGCCTAATTTCTTTATACGCCTTATCTTAATTTATGCATATCACTCAGTTAAGCATCTTGAGGCTTGTTACTGTTGTCCTTTTACATTGGGAAAGTGAATAGTGCCATTGGTATAAAATGTTGCCTTCTGCACTGAGTGTCCATTCCTCTCCCTATCATTTCTCACAGGGGCTTCCGTTCAGGGCTTCTGCTGTGTTGGGCTGCTGTCATGTTCATTGATGTCTTGAGAATGTTCTGAAATGTCCCTGGGTCGATCGTGTTTCCATTCTCTTTTCAGGAGAAGCTATTCCTATCTATGCAGAAATAGAGAATTGTTCATCTCGCCTGGTTGTCCCTAAGGCGGCAATATTCCAAACCCAGACATATTTGGCTAGTGGAAAGACGAAGACAGTCCGGCACATGGTTGCCAATGTTCGAGGAAACCACATTGGTTCTGGAAGTACAGACACATGGAACGGGAAAATGCTAAAAATCCCACCTGTTACTCCATCCATCCTGGATTGCTGCATTATCAGAGTGGACTATTCCTTAGCTGTAAGCACAGCTTCTTGAATAATTAAAAATACAGAAAACAGAGCAGTAGGCCATACAATTGCAAATATTATCTCTAATTTTTGCATTAATACTTGGGAAGATGTTAACATTACTACCATTTGTGGATATATGAAGATGGGTCTTCACTGTTATTAAAAATCTGTCTCTACCTAGGGGAATTTAACGAAATAAACGTTAAGGAATTGAGGTGATGTGAGGGGTGTTTGTTACACTGAAGCATAGGTTCATTTTCCAGGGTGGTTACAAGCTCTGTCACCTTACAGTGAAACATGTGAAAGCCATGTTCACATGTTCCCTGTCACAGGTTGTCCTGTAGTTAGGGTTTGCTCATCTTGTTTCTTCATTTTGTCTAGTCAGGACGGTTTACGTTTGTCCTGCGATAGCTTGGTGGGAGACAAAGGCATTTGTTTCTGTGAAAAGGATGTTGAATCAGCTTAGTTCCCATGAGGTTTGCCCCCAAATCTGTGCTGTTCTCTCCCTCACACATGGTTTTCTTTCGTACATATTAGGTATACATTCACATTCCTGGTGCTAAAAAACTGATGCTGGAGCTGCCTCTAGTTATTGGTACGATTCCATACAGCGGCTTCGGCCGCAGAAACAGCAGTGTCGTAAGCCAGTTCAGCATGGACATGAGCTGGTTGGCACTGGCCCTGCCGGAGCAGCCTGAAGGTAAAGCATCCGTGTCTTTTACAGTGAAGTGTTAGATACAGACTAGCTGAAAAAGAACGTGACAGGAGCAAGTGCCACGTGTCAGCTCTCCCCACCTCATTAGTGTGTACATGTTCTTTTGGCGGTGCCCACATGCCTGGCAAGCAGACACCAAAGGGAAGAAGGGTTCGTTTGACTTAGATTTTGAAGGTGCAGCATAGGTGGCAGTGAGAGACGTTTTAGCCGTGGTTGCAGGAGTGTGAGGCAGCTGGCCACATTACAGCCACAGTCTGGAAGCAGAGAGAGATATGTGCTGGTTCTCAGTGTACCCCACCTCGCTTAACTGAGTCTGAGACCCTGGCCCAAGGGACAAAGCTGCTCACATCAAAGCGGTTATTCCTTCTTCAGACCAACCTCTGGAAACTCCCTCATAGACATGGCCAGTGTTCTGTCTCCTAGTTGATCGTATGTCCTGTCAGGTTGACGGTGAAGTCCATCACCACTACTCTGTTGTTTTATACTACTAAAATTATATAACGTCCCTGGAAGAGGGACCTTGAATGTTAACTTTAGCCATGATATGAAGCCAGTGACAAACCCAGGAATAAAGTGTACATCTCCTGAGGCTAGTTTATAATATTAAGATGGTGAGAATTGTTTCCAGTGGAAGTATAGACTGTTGCATATTTTCTATAGCTATATTTAAGAGATGTTGATTTGCCTAGCTTGTGCCATGTAGATCACAAAGAATGTCATTGAAAATAAAATGTCATTGATTTTAAGTAGCTGTTTATTACGGGAACCAAAACTTTCCTCGTGATGGCCACAGAATCTTCAGTTTGACTCATTCCCTTGCTTCTGTTAGAGTTCAGAGACACAAATGAAGTTTGGCATTTTTTGCACGGATTTCTGACCTCAAACTCCATTTCTGTTTCCAGCACCACCAAATTACGCAGATGTGGTCTCCGAGGAAGAATTTTCCCGACACACTCCTCCGTACCCTCAGCCCCCTGACTGTGAGGGAGAAGCCTGCTACTCCATGTTTGCCTGCATACAAGAATTCCGGTTTCAGCCTCCACCTCTTTATTCAGAGGTAAAGAAAATTAGACTCATTATGCCGGTCTGCAGACAATCAGTTCCTCTCCTCCATTCATTAAAGTGCCATTGCTGACTCATAATTGGTTGGGTATATGTACTCACAAACTTGTTCTTACCGCGTTGGTTGATACATTAGTACAGCCACTTAGCACATTTTCTGGAATTTAGTTTGTGATCTATGGCATGCATATGCGGCATCGTGGGTTGCCCTGAAGATATTTTATTTGGCCATAGAAGATGAGAACTCAGCAGCCAGTGGAGGACTTAATAACAGATGCTAAGCAACTTAAGCTTCCAGCTTTCGTGTAACTAGAAGCAGGTAGGAGAACCAAGGTGCTTCAGACATTACCTCGCTCTTCTGTCTCATAGGTCGATCCACATCCTGGTGATGCCGAAGAGACCCAGCCCGTTTCCTTCATTCTCTGAAGAGATTCCAGAATTCACTGTGTTGCTGCCAACTTAGACTGTTGGTTCTTTCACCTGCCTCGTTGGAGGAGAGAAAAAGTTACCTTAAGAGCACTGATGCACTCCAAGTGTGAAGACAGAAATGAAAGAATAGGAGAACTCCTTAGCGGGCCAGTGGGAGGGTGACACAAGGTTTTAGGGTGGGGTCAGTTGGAAGCCCTGGCGATGGGAGAGGAGATGAAGGAATGCCTGCACTGTTGGAGAGAGGAGTCCTGAGGAGTTGGAATGTTACTGGAGTGTGCTCTGACCACACTCCAGTTATGAACTTATGGGCTTGGTAGGTAGACCTGATTTCGGGAAACAAGACAGCTTTGAAGTGACTGTGAATGAGGAATTGAGGTCCCCAGGTTTCGGGGTCTGGCTTTGAAGTGACTGTGAATGAGGAATTGAGGTCCCCAGGTTTCAGAGTCTTCATGATTTCTTGCCCTGTTACCACAGCAGGGATCAAGGTCCTTGAAAGTCTCCTTCCTGGAGCCCATGGGCATGTGAGATCCGCATGGAAGTGACAGTGTTTCCACTCTTCCAGAGGAGGTTGAGATGTACGTTGAAGATAGCTAGACTGCATTAGGACGCCTGGAATGGATTCCTGAGAGGCTTGCCACATCAAAAGGAAAGAGGAGATCTCACATGAAGTGTGCTGGGAAAGGCTGTACACCCTGCCACCTTAAGAACTTGTGCAGGATGTATGTTTTATGTTCCTCATCCCTTATTTACCTAGGGGTTACTAGAAAAAGATGGGGTAGGCATGACATCTTTAAGATACCTGATACCTACACAAAACAGAGTATTTTCCTTATCCTGCCTCTGGTGGCTGTGTCAGGCCTGCTCTCAGAACACCAGGCCTGACTGACCTTTGGGGTTACTGCTGTATGCAGTTAGCATGCTCCTTTCAACCTGTCACTAGACCTGAAACTAGACCAGGGGAAAATTCCATGAGCTCAGCATTAAGTAGAACTAAATTACAAACACCTAAGATCTTAAAAGAACCCCCAACCCAAAAGAGGCCTGGAACGTTCCTGAACTCTTCCTGTGCTGAGGCTTCAATGAGTGGATGGTGGTTGCCACGTTGTGCGTTCTTACCACAGTCGTTAGTAATTCCATTTAAACTGTGATTTTTTAAAAATTGTTTTGGTGCAATATTTAGTTGCCATTGAGCCTCAGGATAATCCAGACCTACAGGGCTGTGTTGGTGCTGGCAGGGTCAGCCATGTCCTTACCAGCCCCCTCCCTTCCTGTTCATGGTCCCACGCTCAATTGTTTTGCCTCCAGTCTGTCCAGCCCAGGAGCTGAGAACATTGCTGACACCAGGGAGGTTCTCGCAGTGGAGATCTGGACCAGCCTGGTGCTGTCCAGGCAGAAAGTTGTGCTGTGTCCATCAGGACGATGGATTTTATCTCCAGTCACCAAGTTCACTTAAAGACATTCGTCTAGGGTTAAATTTTATACTCAAAAGTCAGTGGGCCATTTGTTCAGGGATTTTGTACCAATGTTAGATAAATGTCTACTTGTCCCCTCTGGGCATACCTCTCTCTTCCGTGGTCATGTTAGTGTCAAACACATGTATTTGGTTATAAGCCACTGTCTGAAATGCCAAATGGTGTTGCCAGTAATTGTGTTGTGGGAATTACCACAACCCTTATGTTAGTTGTTAGAGATTCCGTTTGTCTTTTTGTTGTGTGTCTGTGAAGCGTGGTGTTCAAATACTGTCTAAACCAGTTTTTGTTGTTACTGTAGAAAAGATGATGAGCTGTGTTTTGGCTCCCAGGCTGTAGTTTACATGCTCTGTCAAGACACGGTCCATCTCCATGAAACCAAAACAAAGGGAAAGAAAGTGACAGTGTGCACAGAGAGAAATAGAACAGGTTGGCTCCCTGTAGAAAAGCCATTGCAGCTAGTTTGCTTAGAGAAATCATGAAGTCCCCTGCAAAAACTGAAGCAAAGCTAACAGTCGCATTCAAGAGAATAGCTCAGAGACACAACTCTATATGGGTCTGTCTGACCCGAAGCTTATAGTTGGGATAAAGTGAATATAGAAAACTATGACAGAGACCCTTCGAATGAAGATCAGACTTTAGCTGCTAATACTTTCCTGTTTAGTCCCCTCTTGCTCTCATTTAGTTTTGGAAAAATGAAAAGTGCCCTTAGGATTTTCTTTTTGATGTCCAAAGTTTGAGATTGAAAGTGTGTTTTGAGGCACAGAGATCTTTCCTTCCCTGGGCAGAATTTTACTTTCTGTGTTTTTGTTTTGCACAATAAGAAACTCAGTAGGCAAGGGTTATGTTTTTGATAAGTTCACTAGCTTCTTAAAATTTTTATTAAAAATTTAATAACTTAACCAAGGGGAAAATAAAAATTGTATTTTGTACTCTTGTTTGAACCCCATGGGTTCCTTTTGTTAATAAAATGGTTATACTTAAGATCTGAGTGGCTAGTTTTGTTCCTGTGTTTACTTCCAAGAGTTAAGTCATTGTCGACTTCAGGAAAATCAATACCCACACAGAGAATCCTGTTCTTAAGGTCTTTTGTTTATGCATGAGATCAAGAGTACAGCCCAATTTGGGCCTGCACACAGGAGGCAGATTTCCAAAGGAACTCAGGTACTAGCAATCCAAGAAGTAAAGTGGCAGACTCAGAAAGTATACATGAGTCAAGGAAATATTGTATCTTCCTTATTCCAAATGACACCAGGTACAATTCTCAATGTTTACTTGGCCAAAATCTCCTCAGTGAGTTAGCAGGTCTGTGGACTGTCATGGACAACATTGACCTAGCAAACATCTCCTTTGATGTTAATACATGTGAATATAATCATGATGTTACCAAGAAAATGTAATGGTACTTCATCTCAAGAAACCTGCTGAGGCCTTAGTCTGAAAATGTTAATGTGTGCCAAGCAGTAGTGAGCAACCTGGTTTGTTCATGTTCACTAGTTTTTAGCCTGTAAGGTGGCCTTTCATCCACATATGTCATTCTCACAAATTAAAACACTTGTCATGTATATAAGGAAAAATTTCCAAAATTACCACTAAGGTTTCTGTAGTTTGTATTAGGAAAATGGTGGCTTGTAAAGTTTAGAACTAGGCCAGACGCTACCGGCAAAGTAGGATGCAGCTCTCCAGTTACCAGTTAGTTTACCAAAACCTAGAGGGGGCAACATTAGAGCTTGGCCCACATTGTCTGTGAGATATCTGCTTACTCTGAAATCTCCCGAGTCTACACCTTTAAAGAAGCAACGAAAACAGTCATTGCTTAATTTGCACAACTTGAGGGTTGTAGACCTTGCATGCTGGCTTGCGGTAAATCAAGTCTTTGGTGTTTATTTCCAAAAGCCCCACCTCCAGAAAGGACCACAATCTGCCTAAATCGCTCGCTAAGTATGTTTAATTGGTAGTTGGGATTCCTTCTTCAACAGGAGATCTAAGACCTTCATATTTCAAGATAATTACAGCCTCACTGCACAAACATTACACCAAAGTCCTCTAAGCCCACCTTCAGCCCCCGCCCCAGTGCTGCCATCTTACACAACAAGGACAGTAGCCAAAGCACAACACTGATACAGAAGCCAGCTTTCGCATATACTCATTTTTTTCTCTGCTTATGATTTTGTGTGCAGCTCTTTGGCATGTTACCACACGTGGAGGTTCACGTAATCACTGCCACAATCAACATTCAGAACTGCTCCGTCATCACAGAGAATCTCCCGGGCTGGCTCTTTGGTCACACCTCCCTTTTTCCCCCAGCCCCACCCCCACTGACTTGTTTTGCCATCTTCAGAATGCTACAAACAGGGCCTCATTCAGTCTGTACCTTCCTGACATTTTGTTTTTCATCCCACGTAGCAACTTGAGACCCACACACATTTGCTGCCTGCATCAACAGAGTGTTCCTTGTGCTTGACCTGAGGTATTTACAAGCAGAGATTAGCTGTTACTTATCACTTCAGTTTGCAATTTGCAAATTAGATGCGCAGCAATTTTGCACACAGTATACCTTCATACGTATTTCATTTGGGGGCTTGAGAACTACTTTTAAGTCTGGTAGAAAATACAGCCCAGGTCTACATAAACTTTTAGGGGTACATCTTCAGCTTGTCAAACTGCTTCAAGTATTTTGCCTATAAATGATAGGCTGTGGCACGGCAGATGAACAATTGTTCCGTCAGGGATAAATCAGTGACTGAAGACCTGTAGACACTACTCTAGGCTGTTTACTTTTTATCAAGTTCCAAATCGGGTATTTCAGGCTAAGGTGTGCAGTGAAGAGGCTGCGCTTGCCCGTGTGCTTGCTCATTAAGCTCTGTGGGTTTCCTTTTGTTCCGCTTTTCAACCCTCATCGGTCCCAGTCCAGTTCTCATTCTCTATTGAGATAGCACATATAACACAAAAACGTTTAACTACAAATATGCTCTTTCATAGTATTGTGAAACAAAAGATTACTTGTTAAGACTTAAGTTTTTCTGGCCAGCAGAACTTGTATTTCATACTAGCCATTTATGCCAAGCTAAAGATTTTCCTTTAAAATTAGAATGAGCTGAACCTTTCAGTTATGAAAAAAGTAAAATATATTAAGTCTTGTTGACAGGAAAAGATCTACTTCAGGCAGCATCTCCCACCATGGATAGGCAAAACACTGATGTCTCCCTGCACTTGGAACAGCCTCAGCCATTGATTTAAGTGCACACACATACCACATTATAGGTTGGTTACAGAGAGAAGAAACCATTCCCAAGAATTTACTGGAAGGGAAGCCATTCCCACAAGCCTTTTCCATCTACAGACAGGAAAAAGTCTGGTGTGGAGGTTTGGGGGAATTATGGAATGGGTGAACTGAGGGCAGACAGCAGGCACAAAGGTTCTCTTCCTTTTTGAAAATGTATCACATGATATAATGATGTCTATACACTGCCTTGGATCATATCTTTATTTAGTGAATAAAGGAAGAAAATGCCCCATATCAAGACAATGAAGTTTGCATCAACTCAATGTAGCATTTGTTCTCCATAGATGAAAACTCATTCTGCATAACATGAAGATTTCTTTGCATTGTGTTCTGTTTTTCCACTTCAGGTGCCAAAATCCATCTATTTGTTCATATGTTGACTGATAAATTCATGAGCACTATTAGTTCTAGCTATCACTATAAATATCTGGACTTGCCTTAAATTGTTTAATGATTTGGGCAAATAACACATATGGGTTTATGACCTATGAATAATGAGCTTCAAAACAGCATACAAATGCACACATCTGCACACACAAGGCACACCTTTTCATGTGCATACATACATGCACACAGATATTGCTTGTTGAGTAGAGGTTTCCCCCTTACATAAGGATAAGAAAAGCCATCAGCAATTGCATTGTTAATATACAGGGACTCTAGAGACTATATACTTTTAACATCAGTCCATCCCAAGGCTCAGAGGACACAAAGCATAGCCCTGATTTTCAGTAGTTGATGTACCTTGCTCAATAAACAAATAGGGAACAAAAACTTGTTTAATAAAGCAACTTGCAAAGTTCCAGTTAATCTTGGTATACTACTCCAGTACAGTAAATGAAAAGCACGAACTTAACTACATTGATTAATGAAAGTCCAGTGCATAACTGAGATGTGGCAAGGAACCAATGTTATTATATATATGAAACTTCAGGGAGGGACTGAAGAGACAGCTCAGTGGTGAAGAGAACTTACTGTTCTAACAGAGTACCTGGGTTCAGTCCCCAGCATCCACATCAGGTGACTCAAAACTGCTTATAACTAGTTCCAGAAATCTGATGACCTCTTCTGACCTCATCAGATACCTGCATAAGCATGATACATATAAACTCATACAGATACACAAAGATACACATAAGTTAAAAATAAGTTAATCTTTTAAAAAAGAGGAGAAGGCTATTACAGATCTTCTTTGACAGTTCCAAGGGGACAACAGTTATGGGGGGGAACCCTTAGGAACCTAAAAAATATTGTAATTTTTCTTTTGTCTAAACCAAATTGATGAGGTGTGTGTGTGTGTGTGTGTGTGTGTGTGTGTGTGTGTGTGTGTACATATGGGAATAGTGTGATATTAAGCTAAAATCTTGCTTTATCTTTTGGAGAGGATAAAGCAAGAAAATCCAGTAAATCTCTTACAAGAGCACATATCTACTGAATTCCTAAAAAGCAATCCTTGGTGTGACTTCATCGCCAGTTCAGCCATCTGGCCTCCTTACATAAGTGAAGAATGCTGGGCACCACGGAAACCCCAGTAGAAAATACTTCTCTTTATCTAATCTGATATAACAAAACACCCTGGCCCTGATATCACAAGATAGCTTATCATCCACCGTAAGCTGATATGAACACCAGCAGTTGTTACCCTAAAAGAGTTGCAAGTTGCATCAGATACATTCTAAGCTTTCCAAAAAAAATCAATCTCACTGCACCTAGAGCCTTGTTTTAAAAGAAGCTCAAAATCGTCATCCCCGAAACAAAGTGAAAATGATTCTTTCTGCTGAAGATCTTGTGATAGGAAGACAGTTTAAACAATGTCTATATCCAAAGGGGTGAATTCTGATGACCTCCGACTTGCCCTTGATCACATCACAGAACTCATAATGTAAGAAATGTTTATAGAAGTCAAGCACCCTTGGACAGACAATGGCATGGGATTTATGAACCTTGGCCAGCAAGTGACATTAGGTCTGTAAATTTTCAGTCCAAGCAGGCTCCAGGACAGCCAGAGCTTACCTTGTTTCTTCAGGTGTGTGACTGATCACACACTTTCCTGTGTCATGGCCTCACTGGGGCTGCAACATCCATGTACATGGAGCTTATCCTCAGTGAAACCCTTCCCCATAATTCATAACTGAGACCCAGTACCTCAACCCCAACACCAGGAACCCCAGATTAAAAAAGGCACGTGCACATAACCAGTTATCAGCCTGGACCCCGGGTTTTGCAGACGATGTGTATCAGGAAGAGACAGTCTTTGGTTTGTGTGTACGCATACTGATTATTGACATTTGCTTTTAATGTGCTCCCAATTTTTGCATAGAAGGTTTATGCCTCAAGAACTAGATAGTTCCAAAGCTGGCTCAGCTCTTCTTATCCAAACAGAATCCAGATGTCCTACCCTCCTCTTGCCCAAGGGAATCAATCTGTCCTGGTTTGCCCAGGACTTCTGAGATTTCACACTGAATGTACCATGTCCTGAGTCATCAGGCATGAACATGCTCCACAAGTTCGCAGAGACCAGCTATAGAGCTTCACGGAGTCAACATGTGTTGCCTTTAACCCACTGCATCAAATTATTCCCTACATCCAACAGTCCCTAAGTGGAGTGCTGTCACAGAGGTGAGTAAGGACATAATGGGTAGAACTGGAATGTTCGGCTCTGTGAGCCATTGGTGGCTAAATCATGGCCTCTGTGGAA